CCATGCCTCAGACACACGGTGGAATCATTCGTATTCCCTTCGTATTCCATTGGTAAGGAGGAAGTTTTGTTCGGACAGCTTCTTCCCAAGAGCCGCTGCTTTCTGGAACAGACGCCCGTGAGGATGCTTTTCCTAATCACTACAAGGCTTACGGCCTTGTCACGTTGAAACACCGGTACTCGTACGATCGCCATTTGGGGATACCAGGTACTGTAAGCTTGGATATGCGTGTAGTGTCGTGTAGTGGATAACGGCTCGGGATTGTAAATCGAAGAGCCGAGTTCCTATTCCCGAGTTCCAGCCCCCACCCCGCCACGAGGGATGTATGTGGCACAAGGCCGAGTTTACCGTGGATTCTCCGAGCCCGTAGGCTCGGCCAAAAATATTCTCTTCGAACCCGCATAAATGGGTTCAGGGCCTGTCTACCTCCCCGGACGAAACTTTGCCCTTCGCCTCGTCCGGGTTCCTCTCTGCTCAAAGCAGAGAGTTCGACAGTTGAACAGGCGTAGTTACTGTTCCCGCAATTCCTGTTGTGTTTGTTATATTTACTTACTAGCAAATACCCTTAGAAAAGGCATGAATCCACCTCTTCTTGAGTAGGACTTTTATCAGTAAACCACTATTATCTCCAAAATATTCTTACAATCTAAATATATTTTCTGGCTTTAAATAACCTGTAAATGGTTGATAAGCCGTAAAAAACAATTAAATTAATCAATCGATGAAAAAAAAGCCAAATCACTACAATCTTAACCTCTCTGTTCAACCGTTATCTATCCTACATATCCTCATAATCTGCATTCTGGTTCTGTCTCTTACATCCATACGACAACCTCATTTAGAAACTCAATACTGTAGAATAACAATAATAAACAGCACTTACCGGCGTAAGGGTCCCAGCTAGCGTCCAGCTGGCAGAAAAAAATAAAGCAGGTTGTAACTTAATACAAACCCTGCAAACTAACTGATGAATCAAGCTGGTATTTATACAGAAATGCCTCCACTCATGTACCAGCAGCCAATCACAGCCCAAGCAATGGACTATCCCACTTTAACACAATGAGATGCTCCATGGCACCATAAATAGCTCTCTTAAGGTTGAGTTATTATTCACTCAGCTTGCTCCACAACTGAGTGCTTATCTTGACCACGTGATTGTTCAACAAATACTTTGAGTGACTCATGGGCAATGTTTTGGAGGAACACTTCTTAAAAGAAAAATGATGGTTTTCCGACATCCGCTTACTTTCAGTCGCCTGCCGTCACTCAAACCCAAAGCCCCACCCCCATCTCTCACCTCCACCGCCACCCCTCGGCACCACCCCCACCCCCTTCCGCACCACCAAGCAGAATTTTTACTTTTGTCTGGATGCACACATGAACAAAATCTAATCCGCTCGGTGCAATAAAATTAGCTTCAATGTAACGTGGGAAAAGCCACTCTAAAGAAATGGACAAAAGACTTGAAGAGTCAAGAGAAAAATCAAATTCGCGCCATTTCATCTCACAAAAAAAAAACAAAAAAAAAACAGGACAAGATGGATATTTTACGACCCAAAACTAACTGAAGACTTCTGAGTTGCTTTCGAAATTAGCACGTAAATAAATTAAAAAAAAATTAAGTTGACAGTTATATAAATATTTGTTTACCTGACAGCGGGAAAATATAAATTTAAAAAAAAAAGTGGAGGATTTAAGTTACTTCTCTGTCAGAAAAGGCGTCAGTTTCATTCAAAATATCCAATTTAGCATCTTCAAAGCCGAGAAGCAAAAATGAAGAAATGTAGCGGGTTGGGTAGGACTTTGTTCTCAATTCAAAACAAAATGGACAGAGTAAATAATAGATCCAATCAGACTGCCTTCTGCTGAAAGGCAACGGAAACAGCGATGCAGAGTTGACACTAGCGCGCATGCGTAGAGGTGTACGTTCTCAATTGGGACTGTCGCAAGGTCATACGTACCCACCCAACTGTAAACAAGCAAATCCACACACTATATATATATATATATATATATATATAATTTTGTTCATACATATCTTTTGGTGTCATTCTGTTCATAATTTATCTTTTTCTGTTCCTATCTATCTATCTATGTCAGTCATTTCATTTCGATCAATCACAGTTACTTCATATACATCTATTTCAGTCTTTTCATATCTATCTATCTATATATATATATATATATATATATATATATATATATAGTCTCTTCATATACATCTATTTCAGTCTTTTTTCATAAAAATCTATTTATCTATCTATCTATAGTCTCTTCATATACATCTATTTCAGTCTTTTCATATCTATCTATCTATATATATATATATATATATATATATATATATATATATATATATAGTCTCTTCATATACATCTATTTCAGTCTTTTCATATCTATCTATTTATCTATCTATCTATAGTCTCTTCATATACATCTATTTCAGTCTTTTCATATCTATCTATCTATCTATCTATCTATAGTCTCTTCATATACATCTATTTCAGTTTTTCATATCTATCTATCGTCTCTTCATATACATCTATTTCAGTCTTAATTATCTATCTAATTCTGTTCATATATATATATATATATATATATATATATATATATATATATATATACACATTACAGCCCAAAAGTTTGGGGTCACCCAGTATTTCTTTAAAAACACCTTAAATGAGATATTTTTATATTCTTTTTAAGTATAAGATAAAATTGCAGAAACTACAGTGCATTTCCTTTTATTTTAACAAAAAAAAATAAGCACTTAACAATAAAAAAAAATTATCATATAAAAGCATAATATTTTGTTTTCGTAAATAAAATCACCACGAAGACGAATCCAAATTTGAACTTTTTGGTCATAAGAGGAGACTGGAGAGAGACTGAAAAAGAAAAGAAAATACATTGTAGGTACTTACATTTTGTCTTTTACTTTTAAAAAATACAAATCTATCTCATTTTAATTTTTTTGTTTTAAAGAAATGCAGAGTTTCACCAAACTTTTGGCCTGCAGTGTATATGTATATATGTTGAAACAAAGTGGAAAATTTATTAGCGAGGCTTTTAGCTTCCTCATATAAAAATGAAAGACAGACAAAACTGTATGTGAGGAAAATGCCTTTGGATCTGTGAATAGTGACCACAAATAAAATTAAATTTTTATCAAGCCTTCAATAATTGTTCTAGCATTCATACTCTGGCTTCCATGTTCAAGAACCATCACGAAAACGAGGAAGCTTAAAAAAAAGGGAACATTAGAGAGAAAAGCTGGATCAGGAAATTACAACAGCAAGAGGGATCATCTTACATTCTTACAAAGTAGAGTCCAGTAGTGTTTAAAAATTTTCGGAGAATTCCAGTAAGATGTCTTTAATCATTTGTAAGATACAACAGTGCAAATCTTAACCTAACAATTGGAAAATGTAAGCAAATATATGGATATAGATACGACAGTATGAAGAAAAATATATTTTAATATAAAGGATTTTTGTTTGTTTTTTCCGTATATATTTTTCTTCATATATATATATATATATATATATATATATATATATATATATATATATATAAAATTTCACCCCAAGCAAAGCAATAAAGCCACTAAGACGCAAGTGGGTATTGAATGTTTGAAAATATACTATTAGGGGGTAAAGAACAATAAAAGAATAGAAATTACGAAGACAGAAGATAACGATTGTCATTGCCTTTAAATCTTTGAAGATCAAAGTTCACTGAGAAGAAGCCGGAAGAGAGTTCCACAAAGGAAAACTGCTATATAAGAAACTGTTAGCATAGAAGTTGCCGTTAGATTTTGCCATTTCAACTGTAAAATGATGAGACCTTGCCGCCAATCTAGTACTGCGTTTACATCTGTTAAGTCTAGGTACAATAGAGCAAAGTTCGTTACAACAACTTCCATGAAAGTATTTATAGAACAGACACAGAAAAGCTACGTTACGGTGGTGGGAAAGTGACTTAAGCCGAAATATCAGGTCAGGACCAGTAACATTGCAGATTCTTCTTTGGATTTTATCAAGAATCTCTAAATATATAACAGGAGCCCCAGAGCAGATGTGGCATTAATTTTAACAGCAAAGTCGAATGGTAGATTTATAAATATCCAGATTGATTCTAGAACGAAAAGTTGTTTAGCACGACACAGGGAACTTTCTCAACGACAAACTTAGCAATTGATTTAATATACTCTTTCTATATCATGTCAGCGGAAACGTTAATCCGAGAAGGAGCGATAAGTCACTCTCCTTTAGGTTAGCATCAGCCTTGTTGATGAAAGGCAAAAAAAAAACGTTCTCTCAGACGAAAAAGAGAGCAGTTTCGTTTTGGAAGCGTTAAAATTAGCAAGGCATTCCTTGTACCATTTAACGACAGATTTTGGGTCATTTTTCAGATCAGCTGCCAATTTGACCTTATTGAACTGATCAGACTTACTATAAAAAGGTGTAAATCGTTGCATCATCAGCATAGTTAACGAATTGAGTTTATATATATATATATATATATATATATATATATATATATATATATATATATTTAATATATTGGAAAAGAAAGAAAGAAATGCATGAAACAGTCAATCTCTGAGTGTTGACTTCAATGTCCACTTTTATATTTACATACACTCTATCTCTGATATTGAGCAATTTTATCCCATAAAAAAAGCAGACCTTGAAACTATATTCCTTTATATATATATATATATATATATATATATATATATATATATATATATAAATGCACACAAACAGCATCTGCACTATTGCTGCCAAGAATGACCCCATCATGTCATGACATTGAGGTTAAACAGAGTTTCAAACTACTATATATATATCAATATATATATATATATATATATATAATATATTTATAAGAATATATATATCCTCCTTCAATTGTATTATATATAATAGATGTTTTTGTCCATTTCTCATTTATACGAATGTAGGTAGGTAGGAATAATTGTAAATAAACAAGTGTCAAACGATTGGGTTTTGCTCAAAATCGGACAAATATGGGAAGACAGGAAAGAAATAGAAAATAAATGAAAGAAAGAAAAAGGGAAAATGAGTTGTTAAAACATGGAGTAAAAAGGAGAGGCATTCACCGAAAAGAGAGGGTGCTAGTTTAAAAAGAAAGAAAGAAAGAAAGAAAGAAGGTAAGAAAGAAGGTAAGAAAGAAAGAAATGTAGCCATAGAAAAAACCTCACTTGTCTAGAAAGAAAGAAAGAAAGAAAGAAAGGAAGACGGTAATTTAGAAAGGCAATCATAGAGAAAATGAAGCGTTAATAGTCTTGAAAGGCAATTTTGAATGAAAAACGAAATTTATTAGAAAAAAGAAAGAATGCAAATTTTGAATGAAAGAAGAAAGAAAAAATACTAGAAAAGAAAGAAAGAAATGCAATTTTAAATTAATGAAAAAAGAAAAATTATTGAAAAAGAAAGAAATTCACTTTTGAATGAAAAACGAAAGAAAAATTATTAGAAAAAGAAATAAAGCAAACTTTGAATGAAAAAAGAAAGAAAGAAAAAATACTAGAAAAAAGGAAAGAAAAGCAATTTTGAATGAATGAAGAAAGAAAATGTACGAAAAAGAATGGTGATTTTAATGAAAAAAGAATGAAAGATTACAGGAAAAGAGAAAAAAGGTAATTTTGAATTTTAAAAAAAACGAAAAATTACTAGAATAAAAAGAAAGGCAATTTTGAATGAAAGAAAAAGAAAAATTACTAGAAAAGAAAGAAAGTCAATTTTGAATGAAACAAGGAATAAAAAATTATTAGAATAAAGAATGAAGACATTTTAAATGAAATAAGAAAGAAAAATTACTAGAAAGGAAAAAAGGCAATTTTGAATGAAAGAAGAAAAATTACTAGAAAGAAAGAAACGTAATTTTGAATGAAAAAGAAAGAAAAATTAATAGAAAAGAAAGAAAGACAATTTTGAATGAAAGAGAGAAAATTATTAGGAAAGAAAGAAAGAAAGAAAGGAAATTTTGAATAAAAGATGAAAAAAAATTACTACAAAAATGAAAGAAAGGCAATTTTTGAATGAAAACGTTACTAGTGTAGAAAGAAAGAAAGAATTTTTTTAAAGAAGAAAGAAAATTACTAGAAAACAAAGAAAAACGAAATTCAATTATGTTTGAAAGAAGAAAGAAAAATTAGTAGAAAAAAAAATGAATGATAATTTAGAAAATTACGAATGAAAGTTTATTAGAAAAAGAACAGGTAAATTGAATAAAAGATGAAAGAAAATGAAAACACCATAAAAGAAAGAAGGTAATTTTTAATGAAAAATAAAAGGAAAGTTACTAGATCGGAAACAAAGAGGACATTTTTAAATTTAAAGAAAAGACAGAACAATTATTAGAAATGAAAGAAGGAAAGTAGTTTTGAATAAAAGAATGAAAGTTTACTCAAAGAAAAAAAAAAGAAAGAAGGCAATTTTCAATGCAATATAAAAAGAAGGAAAAATAACGAAGAAAAAAGGCAAATTTGAATGAAGTATAGAAAAATAAAAGATTACTAAAAAAAAGAATGTAATTTGGAATGAAAGAAAAAATATTACTGAAAGAGAAAGAAAGAAAAAAAGATGATTTTGAATTAAAAAAGAAAGAAAATGTGATCGACAAAGATACAAAGAATACAAAAGAAATCTAAAAAGAAAACAGCGAAATTGCATCCATTATGCAGCCGACTTTTGTGTCTGTCGCACGCCTGTCTTTTTCTCCAACAGATGGTTGCCTTTCAAAGACATTTTTTAATGCTCAGTTGGAAAGAGACTTCTAATGGCGAAAGATAACTAGAAGAAAGAAAAAAAAAACAGAAGACAAAAAATAAGTCAAAACCGAAAAGAGGGAAATGAAGAGAAAAAGTTTATGTGGCTTCTCTAACCAGAAAAATCACGTCATATTACGTTGTCTGTCTGTCTGTCGAACATTTCTACTGATTCCGCAAACTATTCTCTCATCTCTGCAGAATCGGTAGGCACTTCTTTACATAAACTAGGAAAATGAAAGAATTGTTGAAAGAATGGCCTCCGCCATCATTTCGTGTTTACTTGATTCATTTCATCCTGTGCGTACATTGAATTAATGACTTGATATCAGTTTGGTTAAAACAGATCGATGTTTCACCCCCATACATAGTTTAGTGACAAGGCCAAAATCGTGGAGAACCCAGTGACGTTCAAATTCTTTATTATTGACTAAATTTGAAAGGTTTGCTACTATTAGAGTATAGGAGATCCTTCTAGAAATCTTCAAGACGTTTATTAACAAAAGAAAAAAGCCTAATATTTGAAATGGTCTCTTATTAATTTCGTTGTTGTGGAACTACATTACCAGCGCGTATGAAAGGGCCAAATTCAGGTGTGTCGTGTAAAGTATCATACAGTGGCTTGCAAATGTCTACACCCCCTTTGAAAATTTATATATTTTGTATAATTTAACAGGGAACAACACATTTTTTTCAATTCAAATGATTGTTAAATAATAAGAGTCCAGGAAATCCTTTGATATAAAAAAAATTCATTTTAAAATTTGACTGATTCTTAAAAATCATATAACTTAAAAAAATGTCTGGTCAAAAGTTCTACACCCCACCAGATATTATACTGTGTTATGTAGTTTATCATTGATGTATACAATCCAGAACAATCAAAAGTGACATGTATGTTCTACCATAACAAACAAACTTGGCCAGTCTATTATTTTGCTATACAAGATCATTTAACTGCCTACAAAATCCTCCACCACATGGTTTCTACGGGGTATTTTTAGACGAACCTGCGAGCTCAGATACTACACATTAAATTCGGCTTTGTGCCACATCTGACCGCGTGGGGCGGTTGGTAGATATCCTGCAGTTAGAGATTCATTGTGGTTTTCACTTGACTCACTTCTAGCATTTGACTACTTCTACGCGCCGTTGGGGAATCTTATATGTGTTGTTCTTGTCCTAAGTATTATCGTTCATTACTAACTTTCGTTTGATTATTCTATTCAGTTACCTTCCCTAGGTTACAACACTCTCCATCTTTTTAAAAGCCACTACATTGTGTGGAACATCATTATTTTGATTAAAATATGCTTTTTTGTTTGTTGAAAGTCCAAAATTTATATTCTTTATGTTTCGAAAATGGCCTGCTTGTTCGAAAAGATGGTTGATTGCTTGATCCATTTAATAATAAAAGGTTATTTATTTGAAGATATTTCCTTTCCTTATTCTCGTTTTTGGTTAGTAAATAAATCTAATGTTGGAATCTCTTGTCTATTACTATCAATTCTATTTTCAATTTTTATCTCCTATTCTAAATTTGTTATTGGCCCTGTTCATTTATAAAGATGGCATCTCTGAAGATGATCAATCAATTCTCTAAGTATGCCAAAGAATATTGTGATTTTTTTACAAATAAATTGGCTTAAAAAATTGCCCTATCTTTGTTCATTATAAAATAAATGCTCATAAATATTTCATTTTTATTTCAAACCAAAAATGTGCATCTTATGGGGAAAATTTCTCAAATGGCATCCCTAATCTTTTCACCTTTCACTAAATTCAAGAAAACTCCTAAATGTAGGCATTTCTCTTCTGTTATTATTCAGAGCCTCTATTTCATGTTTTAATGTTTCATCTAAAATTTTCAAAAATTCTTTTTTGAAGAAGCTATAATCTCCAGCTATTCAAATGTAATGTCTTTCGACATCTCAGTTGCCTTAATAATTTTTACCCTTCAAATCCTTTCTTCTATCTTTTAATATCTGATTCCAAATTTTCTGTAACCCCTTGCGTCCTAGTGGCTAAAACCTTGGGTTGGGGTGCCTAAAAAAAATTGATACATTTGGTTGAAGTTTTTAGAATTTAATTAAATCAACATGTTTAGTGTTTATGAACTCATACTTTTCAATTTAATTCATTGACGGAAAGACGTCGCTTTTGAGTGTTTTGGCGTCATTTCTTTCTACAAACAGAATAAGGATTACAAAAAACGTACTATTGCCAAACTGAAGCAAAATCACAAAAAAAAAACTTGAAATGTCGAATGTGAGCAAAACCGACCAAGTCGACCATGCATACGAAAACCAAAGGCTATTTGTTTTATCGGAATGTTGACTGGTGAGGACCTGAAAATACATCGGCTGCTTGATGATATCAAAATCTCGATCTGATGAGTCTATTTAAGAACATGACTCTTAGGTTAATGTTTTGGCTTTGTAGCATATTCCGCTGTTGGATGAAACTACACCTAGTGCAGCCTATTCTATGTTCAGTTTCCTTATCTTTTATAATAAATATGTTATAACTGATCCATACAAAAAAGTTAAAATTCAAAAAGATGCATGATTTCAAAATTTTTTAGACAATGACACTGGTCAAATTATTTATAGTTAGAAAAGAACATTTATTTATTTCATGATTTTATGAATGAACAACATTAAAGTTGAGTTCTTATTTTAATGTTTCTGGTTCTGTAGCATCTTGCAATGTAGCATCTTGCGATGATGATACCAATTCACCCGCAGCTTATTCTATGTTGGTTTCTTATCGCCTATAAAAAATTTGATATAATTTGATCCATCAAATCACTATTACTTGAAGTGTTTGAAGTATTTATGGTTTAGTATTTCAAGCCGTAAATTTTTATAAAAGATTATTTTGTACAGCAATAGATGCCATCGCTGCCTTAATTCCAACTATTTTTCTGATAACATTTGTGTTCTTCCTTTATTTCGTCTCTATTCAATTATTTTTCTTTCTTTTTCTCCTTTTTCCTCTTTTATTCATACCGCAATTTACTTCAGTGTTTCTTACTTATGTGTTCCTTTCTTTTTTTTTATTTATCTTTATTTCTTTCAATTAATATCTTTTTCTTTCCTTCATTTCTACTTAATTAAAGTTATTTTTTTAGGAAAATACTCTTTTCTTTTCATATCTTTTTTTTTTGTTCATTTTTTCTAGATATTTTTTTTCAATTCTCCGTCAAAATTAATGCCAATATTTGCTTTTCTGTTTACATTCTCTCTTTTTTTTTCTCTCTTCTGTTTTCTCTCATTCCTTCCTCTTTCTTTTTTTCGTTCGCGCCATTAATTTCTCTTTTTCTTTCATTTCCTTTTCAATAACTTTCCTTTCTTTCTTTCTTTCTTTCTTTCTTTCTTTCTTTCTGCTAACAGGCTATCTGCTTTCTTTTTTTCCTTTCCTTTTTCTCTTCTATTCATGCCGCATTTCCTTCAACGTTTTTATCTACTGTTTTCCTTTCTTTTTAATCTTTCTCCATTTCAATTAACATATTTTCTTTTCTTCTTTTCTGATCATTTACTTTCTTTCTTCTTCTTTTTTCAAACAAAAATTGCTCTTTCTTTCTTTTGTTACAGTACAAGAATCATTTTTCGTTCATTTTAATTCTTTATTTTTCTTTTGATTAAACAACACCTATTTTTGCTCTTAAATCTTGATTTTCTCTCCCTTTCTTTCTATCTATCTCTCTCTCTCTTCTGTTTTCTCTTATGTCCCCCTCTTTCTTTTCTTCGCCCGCTACATTGCTTTCTCTCTTTCTTTTATTTTCAATAAATCTCCATTCTTTTTCTTTTCTCTTTCTTTCTGCAAATATCTTGTGTCCTTTCTTTCTTCGATTCTATTTAATTAATTTTCTTTCTTCTTTGTCTTTCCTTTTTCCTCTTCACATTTTCTTTTTCCTTTTCCTTAATTGACAAAAAAAACAATTTTTTTAATCTTTCCTAAATCTTTTCTTTTTTTTTTCCTTTCCTTTTTTCCCATCTTTCTTTTGTTCAATCGAAACCTATACTTTTTTTATTTATTTTCTTCCTTCCCTCCATTGATCTTATTCCTTTCTTCAACGACATTACACGTAAACCAGTCTGCTTCTCTTTTCCAGTATCCTCCGGGATTTTTTTTTCAAATTCGTCCCCCTCTTCTTCATTTAGTCAATTATTCATTCATTTTTTTTTAAATAAAAAAAAAATTCTAAAATTTTTTTTCTTTAAATTAATATCCTATTTTGTTCCTTTCTTTTTATTATTTAATTATTTTCTTTCCTTTTAAATTTTTTTTTTTTTTTATTATTCAAAAATTTTTATAATTTTATTTTCGGCTTTATTTTCTTTATTATTATCTTAATTTCTTTATTATTAAATTGACATATTTTCTCTTCTTTTTTGGTCATTAGTTTTTTTATTCTGCTTTTCTTTTTCGCTATTCTTATAATATTATTCGGATTATCCATTTTTCTTATTCAATTATTATTCTTTTTTAACCTTATTTTTAAAATCCCTGAATATTATCTTACTATAAATCTTTAGATATTTGTTTTTTTAATTATTTTCTTTTTATTTATTTTTCTAGCCGTATTTATATTGCTTTTATTATTAAAATTTTTATTATTTTTATTATCCTTTAAATTATTTCTTTCTTTTCTTTATTTTCTTTTTTTCTTTCCTTATTAATATCCTGCGTATATTCTTTTCATCTTTCCTTAATTTTTTTTTTTGTTTGATTTTTTTTAGCTTAATTCCTACGATCTTGTGATATTTTTTCTTTTTCTTCCTTAAATATTTGAATTTCTTTTGCATGTCTTGAAATCTAGATTTCTCTTTTCCTTCTTTTTTCTTCCTAAAATTCCATTGATTTTTTTCCTTTCTTCAACGACCAGATACAATTTAATAA